CCCTTATTCGAATGCAAGCCCCTTGAGAATAGGAGTAGAGGTTATTTTGCTTTTGTCTTTATATTCCCAGTGCTTAGAAGGGTGAACTGATGCGCAGTAAGTACTTAATACTGATAGATTGGTTGATCCTTTCACCAGAGTATAGAATGAAGAGGTCAGAGGCTTTGTGCTATGTACTTTACAAGTTATCATTTGATCCTCACAACAACCCTAGGAGGTAGGTGAAATTATCCCCATTTTACAGATAAGAAAACTGAAGCTAAATAGAGACAGTGGATAGACACTTGTGTATATATTACCTTTCTATCCATCATCTATCCATTTCTAAGATTTTAGCGAACAATTTGATAAAATAATGATTAACAAAAAACTTGATAAAAGTTCTTATTCTATTCTTATGGAAAAGACAGAGAAATGGTGGGCTAGAGGTGAGAACAGATTTAAATAGATGTGGAATCTGTTGAATGGCTGGATTAAAAAAATAGCCAATAAACGTTCAACGACAACTTAGAAAGAGGTCTACTGAGGAACACCACAGGTATCTATACTTAGCCTTGTGTTGTTTAGTACTTTTATCAATGATTTAGAGAAAGGCAAACTTGGAATGTTTATCAAATTTGAATACAGCACTTATCTGGAAGGGATAAGTGACACACCGGATGCAGAGTGAAGATCCAAAAAAAGAACCCTAGAGGTTAGAAACTCTCTATTTCCGTCAAAGGCAGCAATATCCTCCAGTCTCCATTTTGATACCTTAGTTTTATCTTCCACTAATCACTCTTCCTCATCTCACATATCCAACCAGTTGCCAGATCTTATCATTTTTACTTGCATTTTTCACATAAATCTCGTTCTCACTACTCACGTGGCACTACACCCCCCCACACCCACCTTAGTTCAGGCCCTCACGGCTGTTCAATTGGTCTATTACAACAGCCTTTTAATTGGCTTCCCTTTCTCAAGTCTCTCCTCGCTCTAATCCGTCCTCCACACAGCTGCCAGTGATTTTCCTTAAGCAAAGGTCTGATCACATTACTTTACAACTCAATAACTTCAATGGCCCCTTATTGTCTCTAAGATAAAAAATATAAACTCCCCTATGTTTTAAAAGCCCTTCAAAACGTGGTTGCAAAGTAACCTCCCAGTTTCATTATACACTACACACTTTCTCACATTCTTTGGCATTCTTGATATTCCTTATTTAAAGGCCCTTCATTCACCTCACGGCTTGGTGCCTTCAAACTGTCCCCTGTACCTGGAACGCACTTTTTCGTTCACCTCTGCACCACACAGAATTATGCACTTCCCTTAAGACTCTACTGAATTGTCAACCTCTACATTAAACTTTTCCTGATCTTTACAACTGTCAGTACCTTCCATCCTACTTATACTTAAACAGCTCATATGTATTTTGTATTTATTTAATATAAACTTATTTTATTTACACATTGCCTCCTCTGAGAGTCTGTAAACATTTTAAGATCAGTTTCAGTTTTTGTCTAGATGATTAAAGAAGAGTGTATAGCATCCACTAGACATCTGATCAATAAACATTTATTAAGTGCCTACTATATGCCAGCCACTGTTAAGTAATGGGGATATTAAAAAAAGGACAAAATACAGTCGTTACTCTTAAGAAGCTCATAACTTAATGACAGAGAATACGCAAATATATATATGCAAAGCAAGTTACATACAAGATAAATAGGAAATAATTAAAAGAGGGAAAACACTAGAATTAAAGAGTTAGAAAAGGCTAGCCGTATAAGACTGGATTTTAGTTGGGACTTGAAGGAAGACAGGGAAGTCTATAGGTGGGGCTGAGGAGGAAGAGCATCCTAGGCATGAGGGACAGCCAGCGAAAACACCTAGAGCTGAGAGATGGAGTGTCTTGTCCATAGAACAGCCAGAAGACCAGTGTCAGTGGATCAAAAAGTATATTGTGGAGAGTAAGATGTTAAGAAGATTAAAAGGGAGAAGAGGGCTAAGCTTTGAATGCCAAACAAAGCATTTTGTATTTGTATTTGCAGGTGACAGGGAGCCACTGGAGTTCATTGAGATCTCAGATCAACAGATCTGAGAATCATTGGTATAGACATGACAATTAAATCCATGGGGTGCTTAATAAATGCTAGTTTACTGACTGAATTCAGAGGTCATCTAGTCCAATCCTCTTATTTAAAAAAAAAGAAAAATGAGGTCCAGGTTTAGTAACTTGATCCAGATCACCCAAGTAGTAAGTGTAAGATGAAAGATTTGTACACCATTACCCTGATTTCACAGGCAGCACTTTCTCTACTATAACACACTTAAAAGAAAGGTCTTTTTTACCAATTGAGGAATAAGTGAACAAGTTGTGGTACATCACTGTGGAATACTATTGTGCTATAAGAAATAATGAGAGGGGTGGTTTCAGGAAAAGTATGGCAAGACCTGTATGAACTGATACAAAGTGAAGTAAGAAGAACTGGGAGATTATTGTGTGCAGTAACAAAAGTGTTGTAATGATTTATATTATATTTATAGTAAGGTAGATTTCAGAGAAAAACTTTCTATTAGTATAGCTGCTCCAAAGCTTAGCATAGTGCTTGGAATAGAGTAAACAACAATGCTTTTTTGACTGAGTGACTTTGTTTGGCACTTATCTTTGAATCTTTCCCTAGCAGAAAAGTTTGTTAGTCAGAAAAACTGTGGGTTTTTTTTTAAGAGGATGGGGAAGAAGGAGGTAAGAGTAGTAAGCATAACTGGGGAAACAACATAAACAATGTTATATTATTTATATAACAACAAACAATGACTAATGTAAAGAATCATAATGATCAAGCTTCATGGCAGAGAAGAGATAAGAAAACTGTCTTCCTTTTACTGGAAATGTGGAAGATTACAGTTGTAGAACACTGCAGGGAGCGGCTAGATGGAGCAGATAGCAGATAGAGCATTGGCCCTGAAGTCAGGAAGACCTGAGTTCAAATCCAGCCTCAGACCAAACACTTAACACTTACTAGCTGTGTGACCCTGGGCAAGTTACTTAATCCCAATTGCCTAAAAAAAAAATTAAAATTAAAAAAATGCTGCATATATTGACAAATGCAGCAATGTGTTGGTTGGCTTTTAAAAAAAATAAAATATTTGATATAATGGAAGATTCCTTGAGTAGGGGAATAGATAGTGATATTTAGAGATTAATGTGATATAAAATCAAAAGGCATCAATAAAACTGAGTGGTTGGGAGTAACGCTTCTTGATTTCATTCATGCACTGTTGGTGTGCCTTATACTTATGTTGGGAGAAAAATAAGAAGATTAATTCAAGAGAAAATTATTTTGTGGCCACCGCTAGTCACGGAAAACACTTTTTACACTTTTTATTAAAGACTCAACCTACTGTTTCTTCACTAGAGCCACTATGCCATATTTCTCGGATGTTAGAAAATACCCTGTACAGAAGGTTCTCACATTACATCAGTGGTATCTTCTGCAGACTGCTACATAAAGCCATTTTTACCTACTGTGAATTTGCCCATGGATATGGGGAACGAAAGGAAAGAGGGAGGAAAAGGCTGCTGGATTATACAGGGAGTGGTTCTCATACAGTTCAAGGATTTGTGGAAGCCAGGGACAGAGAAGTAAGAACAGAAGGAACTTGTGGGGGCTGCCTGGCCAGAATCAAGAGGAAGAACACATGGGGGCAGATATATGGGGCCAGACACAGACAAGACAAGCAACACATGGGGACTGGGGATGCACACGCCCAAGCCTAGAAGACAAACATGGGACACACAGGTGGGTGGCTGGAGTGCGGCAAAGGTCTCCTCTCTCACACTGGAGGCATCAGTGGTAGTGTTCTCTCTGTACAACTGTTCTGCTTTCATTTGGAGAGTTTTTTTTTAAGTTTGGTTTTGGTTTTTTTTTTTGAGAGATAACTGGGGGAGAGTGGAGAATAACAAACTGAGGGGAAGGAGCAGAGAGAGAGAGAGAATGTGTGCACAGTCCTATACAGTAAAGTTAACACAGGTGTTTTTTTGTAATGTGTATTTCTTTCAGAATTCTTTATATAAAAGTCAAATTTGCATAATGTGAACTTGTATAAAGAGAGAACTGTTTGTATACCCAAACAGAAATTATATTAAAAGTAGAAATTCATCAGCAGAGAACACACACACACACACACACACCCCAATTACAAAATACTTCAAAATTCATTTCTTATTCAAAATGTAATTTTTAAAAAAGAACTAATCATGGAATCTTGTGATTTGCATACCTCTGGATGTGGAAAAGAAAGGTAACAGTGTAGTAAAGTAGTGTCAAACTGAAATAGAAACAATCCCTGCAAGCCAAACAGAAAAAAAATAACATCTATGTTGTATTGTATTTTCATATAAAAAAGAAAAAACCATTTTCGAATTATGTTTTAATTTGGTCCTGTACTCAGGAGTGCAGGCAGCAAGGCTGACACCTCTAGAGCACTGGATAGAAAGCAGGGCTTTAGAGTCAGAAAGATCTGGGTCACCTGACAACAATCTAAGATGAAAAGTTCTAAAAATGGTTGCTGATCTGCATGAGCTGAGAGAGCCTCCTCACTAGAACCTCCCTACACCAAAGAAAGTACAAATTGGGACCTCTCCCCCTTCCCAAATCAATGGAGAGAGTAAGAAATAATCTCTTTTTTTTCTAATGCCAAGCAAAATGCAGATCATTCTCTCTCAAAACTGTGGGTAGAAAATACTGAAAAAACCACAGAAGTAGAGGAAGAGGAAGAAGAAACACAGAAATTAGAATAAAAAAAAAGAACTTGAATGCTATTCTTATCAAACATTTTAGTTCCATTCTCTCTCTTCTTAGTGTCTCTCATTGTCTCTGTCTCCCCACACATCTCAAAAGAGACAGAAGGAGAAAATATGCAGCTACCTTTTAGAAAGCAAACCAGTACAAGGTATTCCATGAAATAATCACACAAATTAGTTTCAAAAGAAACATACTGAAAGAATAATTATTTACCAGGGTTTGTCTTCTCAAGCTGGTACCATCGATAAAATGCCCTTTTCTTCTGTTCACTCAAGTCTGACCCCTGCTGCAACAGCCAATGGGAAATCCGGCTCTGACTGATACCTATATAGGGAAACAAATAACCTTTTTTTTGGATGCTGTAATTACAAAAATTAAGTTGTTACAATTTTTGTTGGTTTTGGGTGAGGGAAGAATAGGTGTTCAGGTTTAAAACAAGATGTTGTTATACACAGAGTTCAGAGGAAAAGAGGGTTTAAACCTAGGTGAGATCTTGGAAATCAGTTCAATCACCTAATTTTACAGTGAGGCTCAGAGAGGAAAAGTAATTTGCTTAAATTTATAGAAACAGTAAGAAAGAGACTCAGGATCCAGGTCTTTTGACTCTAAATCCAGCTCTCTTTCTACTAAATCTCATTAGGAAAAAAATCATTCTAGCTAAGTCTCTCCAGTCCTCTTGATATTTGGGCCCTTTTTACAGGTAGACTATTAATTCCTAGAATAATGACTTCCTTACCACTTCTGCACTAAAATCATATACAGTTCAAAAGAAGACACAGAATTAGTTAGTGACGGTTAGATAATGGTTTCTAGGATCAAATCTGACTCACTACTTATTATATATGTAACCCTTGGTTAAATCACTTCAGCTCTGTGGGCATATTTACTAGCCTAGAAATAAGGAGGCTAGATGCTATGATCATTTGTGTTCTTCTGAATTCTAAATCCAATAATGCTCATTTCAAGAAATAAGTATCAAACCAGGTACACGAGTTTTTTGAAAGGCTAAGACAGGGATAGAAATAGGGGCTGGACCTGTGATTTCACTGATAAAGGAAACTTTCTCTTTTTCTTTTTTTAGGCAATTGGGGTTAAGTGACTTGCCCAGGGTCACACAGCTAGTAAGTGTCAAGTGTTTGGTCTAAGGCCGAATTTGAACTCAGGTCCTCCTGACTTCAGGGCTGGTGCTCTATCTACTGCACCACCTAGTTGCCCCTAAAGGAAACTTTCATATGAAGAAACTCTCTATACTGATGCAGGCTGGCACTTTTTCTGCAGCTTACTGTCTTAGAGATGTCAAAAGCATTGAGAGATCACAAGACTTGCCCACGGTCAAAGAGCCAGTAAGTCAAAGGAAAGATTTGCACCAGGTCTATCAAACTGTGAAGCCAGCTCTCTAATCACTATGCCATGCAGCCTCTCCTACATTTTAAGATATGGTTCATATTACACAATTTAACCTCTAAAGCTACCCCATGCCAAAAACATCCTTATTTCCATTAAAATCATCCTCGATCTTCCAGTCATCTAGGTTCAAAACCTCAAAATCACCCTACACTTTTCCCTTCTTCCTCTGCTCCTATATGAAAACAATTAATGAAATCATACGAATTCTACCTCCAAAACATCTCCCTTATGCAATCTCTTCTTTGTACTCATGTAACCACAATATGGTATCTTGTTTTGACTACAATAGCTTCCTAATATTTCCCTCCTTTCAGTCCAATTCACTCTTCAAACAGCTGCCAAAATAATCTTCCTAAAGTACAAGTCTAACTATATCACTCTTTTGCTCAAAAATCTTCAGACAGAAATCTTACTTATCCTTTAAGGGGAAAATGTGAACTCACCCTGGCATTTAAAGCTCTTAATCTGGTTCTTACTAGCAGTGTGGAAATAAACAGTGGGTTTTAGAACTAAAGCACCTGTGTTCAAGTCCTTGCTACAGCATTGATTACTTGTGTAAACTTAAGAAATCACTTAAACCCTCTAACTTCAGTTTCCTCATCTGTAAAATGAAGGGGTTAGACAGGATGATCTGAGTTCCCTCTTAGCTATACAATCTATAAAATGAGCTATTTCAATGTATTTCACATATTATTCCCTTCATATACTAAATGCTCCAGCCAAGAGGGCCCACTTGCTATTCCGTCTTCTACTAATGTATTCCCTCCAAACTCCCAACTCTTAGAATTCAAGATTTAGTTAATATATGACTATCATATATTAGCTACATATCATATCATATGACTAAAACCTTTGCTGATTCCTCTCATCATTAATAGACTTTCCCTCTTCAAATTATTTTCTGTTTCATGTATTTGTTTACAAGTTGCAGTGGACAGGAGAATGTAATATTGTCGTCATGCCCCCCCCCCCCACCTTATATCTACAGTGCCTGGAAGAGAACAAAAGATTTAATAAATATATGCTGAATTGATATTACTTCTTTGCTTTTATTTTTCTCCTCTTATTATAGACATATATTATTAGAGCCTGACCCAGAGAATGGAGGGAAACAAGTTAAAAAAAATCAAGAAAGTTTACTAAGTATTATCTATTGTGGTAAAATAGGGATAAAGATGAAAGTCACAGAAGATACATTAGAGTTCTAATTAGTCATCTGTATTTGTTACAATTATAAATATGAAAATAATAGCAGTGTTTATGCCACATCTGATCCTTGGCAATGGCTTCAATCAGAGCCTTGAGTCATTGTTTTGTTGACTCTCTAGACTTAATCTGTTAATACAGATTTAACTTGAAAGAGTATATGCATACATTACCCCCACCAAAGTCTGGTTGTTAAATGTTTACCAGCCCACTTTTGTAAGTGTAAGAAATGAGAAAAAAGAAAAAAGAAAGGAGTAAGAAATAAGAAAGATCAATATTTTATTTACAAAATATATAGAAAGATTTAGGTCTACAAATCAGGAACATTTTCTTTGAGAGTTAAGAGGCAAGTAAAACTTCAAAGACAAAAATTGATAATATTTTAACAGGCAGCCCCCCCCCCAAAAAAAACCCTACTCCTTTAGCCACCTTTTTTAAATTAGTGGTTGGGGTTTTTTTTTTGTATCATTAGACCACCAGCACAAAGATAAAAATCAATACCAAATTAGAAAAAAGCATAAAAATGAGATGTGACCCAGAAGTAAGGCGACTATAATCTACCTGAAAAAACTGTTGGGATGTAAATGGGACAACAGAAGAGATATCAATACAGATCATAATTTCCTAAGAAAGTTTAATTGACATTAATCAATTGCTACACCAAGGAGACCGGAAGAGCCTAGGAACCAACCACCTCAACCAAGAAATGCGATCTCCGTGACAAGGAGGAGGAAAAGGCTGTATTAATAACTACCAACAGATAAGCCTAATCATCTTCAAAAAAGTCTTATTTTTATACTACAGTATAAAAACTTCATTTCTCTTTAATTAATCAGCCCTCCCTATAAACCTCATTCTTCCTCTTCTGAAAAGAGAAAAACAAATCAAAACAAAGCAAAGCAACAAATCAGTCACAGCATTGGATATTTTTACAATAACACAATTAGTTGAAAGATATATAGAGTACAAGGTCCTGCTATGCATCGTGTTCGTTAACTATTAAAAAACTTCACATTTGATTTGGCAAAGCAAAATGACTCCTTACAGACTCTCTTCTCACACAGTAAAGTGTCTCTCATGAATATCAAAATTATATGACTTTTTTAAAAAGGTAAGAGATAACTTTTCTTGAAAAATCTCTAATGTTATTATCAAGTAAGGTATAAACAAAAAGATGTGTTCACCAAAGGAGTTTTCCAACATCATGAAGGACATCAAGGGAAGACACTAAATGAGAGAGATTTCCCAAATCCAATAAAAGATTCTGTTTGTGGAAGACATTCTTCTGACTGCAAATACTCATTTGTGGAACATCCTAAATGAGAGCCATCATCACTGGAAAGAGTTCTGCTTAACTGGCCGCAAAGGAAAAACACACTGGTGAGTTCTGTGTATAGCTATGTATATGTATATGTGTAAGACATACATATAAACAATGAAGTAGGTGCAGGAATAAACAGAACGAGACCATAATGGATTGCATTTTCTTTCTTTTTCATTAAATGTTTTTCAATAAAAAGATCTGCATTCTCTCTTGCCCCGCAACTACCTGTCCCACACTGAGAAAGAAATATAAACAAAACTGTCATTACAAACGTGTATACTCAAATAAAACAAATTCTGCCACTGGCCATGTCCTAAAATAAAATATTTCAATTTGTACTCTGGGTTCATCATCTTTGTCAAAAGGGAGACAGCATATTTCCATCATAAGTTTTCTAGAATCATGGTTGACCACAGCACTGTTTAGAGTTCTAAAGTCTTTCAAAGTTGTCAGCCTTCACAGTTTTTGGATAAATTGTTCTGGTTCTGCTAACTAAACTCTGTATCAGTTCATTCAAGTCTTAGGTTTCTCTGAAATCATCCCCTTTATGATTTCCCACAGCACAAAAGTATTCCATAACCTTTATATACCATAACTAGTACAGCCATTTCCCAAATGATGGCCACCTTCTCAGTTTCCAATTCTTTGTTACCATAAAAACAGCTGTTACAAATATTTTAATATGCATGCATCGTTTTCTTCTTTGTTTAGTCTTTTTGGTGTACAGATCTAACATTGAGATAATTGGGTCGGAAGGGATTACAGTTTAATAACTTTCTTCCAGTTCACAGTTTTACCAAACTTAATACCTATCTGTTTTTCGATAGACTCTCTAGCACCTGTCATTTTCCCTTTTTGTCAGTTTTGCCAATCTGATGAGTACGAAGTAGAACCTCAAAGTTATTTTAACTCGCATGTCTTTATCAATGAGTGATTTATATCACTTTTTCATATATCTACTGATAGCTTAGATTTCTTCCTCTGAAAACTGCCCAGACACATCCATTAACCATTTAGGTATGGCTTTTATTCTTATCTCAGAAATGAGATCTCTGTTAGAGAAAATTGCTGTAAATATAATTTCCCAATTTTCTACTTTGCTTCTAATTTCAGCTGCATTGGTTTTGTTTATGCCAAACCTTTCAGCCTTTAGCTATAATTCAGGCAGGCAATTTCTTCCTTACTCCTCTAATTTGTTTATGTTGTCTACCTTTATGTCAAAGTCATGTACCTACTTGGAGTTTATCATAGAACACAGAGTCCGGTATTGCTTTAGATCTAGGTTCTGCCAGACTGCTTCACAGTTTTCCCAACAGTTCTTTTTTTTTTTTATTGAATACTTAGCTCTTAGCTCAATAGTTAGGATACTGGAGTTTATAAAATAATT